TTCCAGTGAAGGTCCCACAAAGAACACAGCTTAGGTCTTAGAAGCATTTCCCCCTCCCCAGGCATAAATAATTACAAATTTCACTTGGGAACTAAGCATATGTACTGGCCTAGAGGAGTTTTTGGCTTTGTTGCTTTTTGTCTTGATTTGTGTCTCTCCCCAAGCATCTGAGAGTAAAATCAAGCCCCAGCCACTTGCACCTTCAGCACTCCTGCTGAGCTCCTGAGGGCAGTGACAGCATAGGACCTGGTAACTTTCTACATGGGAAGAATAGGGAGGAGGGGAGTGTCAGGCCTCAGCAGTGACAGTGGAATAGAGGAATAAACCTAGACACTGCCTGTCTCAGAATAGGACACAAGAGCTCAGGTTAGCAACTGACCACAGCAGAGAGAGCAACAGGCAGAAATACAGACACCAGGGGCAGCAGCTGCAAATGTGGGAATCCGTGACAGAAGGCAGAGAAGCTGGGGACAGCTAAGTGGCATCCCAGGGCACCTGCAGTGTTACAAAATGCAGGCCCCCTGGTAGCCCACTACTTACTGTAATGTAAAACCGACAAACCCTTCCACACTGCTCCCTATATAACACCCAGTGATCACTGTAGAATTTTTTCCCAGAGAGGGCTTAGAGAATCAAGGAGTGGCATTGTTGGGAGGGGGCTTGCTTTATGGCAACAAGAAGAAAGTCAGTGTCTAACCACCCACCACAGAAGGGGACTGACCCTCAGAGGCTTCTCACAGGATGAAGATTTGGTGTTCTCCCCTTGTCCCCCTCACCTGCCTCCATGCCACTCCCGGGGAGATGGAAGTCCCCACTGGTGGGCCAGAAAACATTAGGTGGTGGTACAAGGCACTTCTCCTTGACCTGGGAAGAGGACGAGTAACTGTGCAAGAAGTCATTTTTGCTACAGGGAAAGGAGGAAAGGGAAATAAGCATTTATGAAGTACCTACTCTGCACCAGGCACTGTACTAAGTACTTTACAAATATCTTACCTAATCCTCACAACTACTCTGGGAAGTATATTCTATTATCTTCACTTCACAGGTTTCCTCAAAACTGAGGCACACAGAAGTTAAATGACTTCTCAGGATTCACATAGTTAAGTGTCTGAGGCCAAACTCGAACTCGGGTCTTCCTGACCCTAAGCCCACTGTGACACCTAGGTATAGGTCCTCCTTTTTACACTGAGACCCACTATGAACTAGAAAGACTGGGCTTCACCCACTATATGGACATGATCATTCAGATCTAGGTTTTGTTTCATGTCTGGAGTCTCACCAAAGGAGGGAGGAGGAACATTCTCAATGTACAATGTAAATCAAATATGGGACAGCTATTTAACCACCTAGCCTTTCTCTGATCCCTTTGAAATCTACTTCATCAAAATTTAGATTCTGTGTCAGACTTTGACTAGTTTTTCTAGCACAAATTCTAAAATGGAATGGACACTTAAACCCACAAAGTTCCCATCATCTCTCAGCAATTAGATCTTCCTTGTTCTAAGATCACAAGTTCATGTAGATTTAAAGATGGAAACCATTTAGACCAGTTCTCTCATTTTACTAATTAATTAGGAAACTGAGGTCTGTGTCAGTTAAGTGAATTGGGATTTGAACTCAGGTCCTCTGACTCCAAATTCGGTCTCAGACTGAATGGTCTCACCAAATGGTGAAAATTAAGACTAGAATAAAAGTTCCTTTCATTGGCTCCTTTTAAAGGAATAAATTATCATTAAGGCAAATAAAGAAAACTAGGCTGCTCTTCCTGTAGCAAAAAGACAGATGAAGCAAATGTTTGTTTCTGTTTCAAAAATCAATCCACCATTGTCTACATGTGAAGAATTATATAAGTTATCTAAAAAGCTGGTCTTCATTGACAATGCATTTTTCCCTTTAAGTGAATCTTGGATTTTAGAAAAAAGTTTAAAAAAATCCTTTCTACACTTTCCTCTATTCCTTGGCTTGGGAAATCATAGATATGGGACACTACCTATACTTTCGTTTTGGATCCATTTTGCTGATTTTTTCTCTTCATCTTTTTCTTTTTTAAATTTCTTTGCTATGTGGGATGGCTCTCTGGAAGAGGAAGAGAGACCTGATGGGGAAATTTAGGTTATTTAAAAACAAAATATATCAACAAAATTTATTTTAAAACATTTTTTCCATTTCTTTGGCAATTTTCAAGCTGTTGAGAGGTACTTCTTAAAATGGCATATTTAGTCACAGCCAGGTCAACTTCCAGGGCAGAGAGAAAAGATAAAGAAAAGAACCATGCAAGAAGAAATTTCCAATGTATCCAGGAATCTGTTATCCTTAAATAAACTTCATGAATCTCTGACATGTGGGATGGCCAAACTGAGTTGAAGAAAGCTACCAAAACCCCTTAACAGAATTTCTGCAACTGGAATTGGGAACTTATGTGGGATAAAAACATGAGCTGCAAGGGTTGCTTTTTTTTTCCCTAATAATTTTTTTAAAATTTATTTTTAGTTTTCAACATTCACTTCCACAAGATTTTGAGTTTCAAATTTTCTCCCCATCTCACCCCTCCCCCACCCCAAGATGGCATGCATTCTGAATACCCCTTCCCTAATCTTCCCTCCTTCTATCTCCCCACTCCTTCTTTTATCCCCTTCCCCTTCTATTTTCCTGTAAGGCAGGATAGATTTCTATACCCCATTTCCTGTATTTCTTATTTCCCAGTTGGATGTGAAAACAATTTTTTTAAACATGTGTTTTTAAAACTTTGGGTTCCAATACAACAGTGTTTTGAGCCGCGTAACAGAAAACCACATTAGGGTTTTATCAGCGATGGTAGCAGCCAAATGAGGATAAAATGAAGAGTGAGATAATCCCTCCAACTTTTTCACCCTCCCTCCAGCCCACGTAAGCTTCCGTCTATTTCTTCTTGCACCACCCCTAGTCTTTTTTGTTTCAATATTTCTTGTTTTAATAGTCATTGGTCTCTAGGTTTACCTGGTTTGCCCCTGGTCCTTGAGCTAGGAGAGAGCTGCACTCCCAGGCTATTTTTCTGACTGGTCCCCTTACCCAGTGTTGATGCATGTGTGCATTTTTGTAGCAACCTGGGCTGGCAAAATTTACTTATTGCAGTTTCTTCTCATATTTTATCATTTTTCAGTCTGGCATTCCTTTTATCCTTGCCCTAATAGTTGTAAGAACTGGGCTGTTCCACTCGCTCTGCACCTTGAGCACAGCATCTGTGTTCTTGGTTTGTTGAGCTGGTCCTGTTCTCTGCTTGGTCTCCTGGAGCTCTAAGGAACACATAGCTGGGCCCTGCCACCCTGCCCCATGGTGTATGGAGCCTTGTTTTGGGGCCAGATTCTCATGGTACGAGTCGAGGCTGAAATCCTGTTGACATTGGATTTGCTTGGTACTCATTCATTCTGAGCACCAAGGTTTCAAAAGCCCATTTGTTAGAGGTCAGGGTGAGTTCCGATTCCCCTGTTGGATTCCCCCTCAGATCACAGGAGTCTTCAAACCCATCTACCAGAGCTTCAGCTGACTTTCATCTCTCCTGGTACAACCAGGTACCCTGTAGGGTTTTGGCTCTAGAGGAGTTGACCGATATTGGTCTTTATTCTTGATCATAGTCTACCTGCTGTCCTTTTTTTGCTGAGGTATATTTGGGATGGTTGGACTCCTCTACGTGCTGCCATTTTAACAGAAGTACCAACATATGTTAAAAGGTATGCTATGAACATGACATTTTGCTATTCAAATTTCATCCAGGCTTTACAGAAACAGACTAAATTGCTTCCCCCTCCCCACTTCCTTCTTTCATGGTCTTGTATTTATTAAATGCAGTCTTGAAAACAGCAGCGCAAGACTTTGTAAAAATGTATAAGGCTTGTTTATACTGGAAACCCCTGATTTCAGGCATTTACTCACTCTAGTAATTTTTCCCATTTTATAAATACTTTGAAACTATAATGATGTCATGTAAAATAATTATAGAATGGAATAAGAACAATTTCATATATGTGTATATGTGTCTATATATGTATATATATTCATATATATTATTGAGGGGGAAAATCATTGTGAAGAAGGGGCCTGCTTTCCTCATTACAACCAGCAGCAACTGTCACCGACTGGCGGGTGAGGATATGAACCCAGAGATGGCAGCACTCCCACCACCCCCTAAGCCAGGGTGGGGAAGCTGAGGCTTCGAGGCCACATGTGGCCTTCTAGGTCCTTGGGTGCAGCCTTTTTTACTGAGTCCGAGTTTTACAGAACAAATCCTTTTATTAAGGGGATTTGTTTTGTGAAGTTTGGATTCAAAGGGCTGAACCTCAGGACCTAGAGGGCCACACATGGCCTTGAGGCTGCAGGTTCCCCACCCTTGCCTAAGATTAACAGTCCTGTTTCCAGGAAACATGTCACAGCTATTACCTCGGGTGGGGATGAGGGGTGACTCCTGTGAAAAGGGACCAGCCATCCCCACCAACTGCTAACCATCTGCCACTCCCAGGACAGGCAAGACAGCCTAGTTGAAGCAGCAAGGTACCCTGAAAAAGAGACAAGAGGCCGTATCTGCCAGGTCAAACCACCACCACCACCACCACCACAACCATCACCTTCCCTCAGTTCCTGATACAGGTTCCCAAGAACCTTGGGCCATCCTGGAAAGCAAGCTCTGGGAAGACGCAGCCTGGAATTGCTCCTGCAAGTGCTCTTACAGACCCAGAGGGGAAAGTTCTTTCCACCAAAGACTTTGGCCCTGTTAAATGGGTTGACATCAGAAACTGATATGAATGTTATTAGTGGAAATGATATTAAAGAAAAAGGCATTACCATCTGCTTTGCCACCACCCTCTAAGGACTACGGGACTTTTCCATATGACTTTTAGCTGAAACCTTCCATATGTGTTGTCTCCTCCATTAGAAGGTGAGCTCCTAGAAAGAAGGGACCATGTTGCTTTTGTATTTTTATCCACAGCACTAAACTACAGTAAAAAAAAAAATCTGAGCACAAAAAGGGCAGTATGGCCTCTTTATTTAAGAGATCTTTGAGAAACAAAGACACTGAAAAGGGTGACAAAAGTGTCACATTTATTTACAACTTCACAGAGCACCTAATAAATGCTTCATTCATTCTATTTGCCCAATATACTACTTTGCCTCTAAATAAATTTTTTAAGGGTAAAAAAAGGAGGGGTCTGAATCTGTGATACCATCTTTGTAGGTCTCCTGATGTGGAATCTGTGTTAAGCAATGGGGATTAGCTAATATATAATTTCAGGGAGTTGGCTGGGACCTTGAAAGGTGAAGTGACTTGCCTGGGGTCACAGAGTAAGAGTTAGTCTATGTCAGAGCCAAGGCCAGGACACAATAACCACCCTCTAGCGACTCTGAGATGCTTTTATTAAGCACTTTGCCAGCATTAATTCTAGTTCTTCTCAGCTCCCTTATGATGATTGGAAATATATTTTGAGCTACAAACTCTCTGTCCCAGAGTTATACGTAGTCCTTGGTGGCAATTCTGGGAGATCTTCAGGGCAGGAACAAGGACTGTTTGTCCTTTGATTTGTATCATCTCTGCAATTTATAGACCTAGAGAGTTGCTTAGAGCACTGAGAGATCTTCACAATTTTTTTTCCATTAATTTTTAGCAATGTTAACATCATTATTACAAAACTCTTCATTGTAATGCTTAGACAAGAAAAGTTAGGTCAAAGTACAAACACATTTTTTTTTCTGCTAAGTAATCTTATTAATCAACACTAAGAAAATCCTTGAATATCAAAGAAAATAAAGCCCTGAACCCAGTGACTAAAAACGCTATATGCTCTAGAAACTGCAGCCAAAAGGAAAACAATACATAATTATAATTACAATTTCTGTGGCATTAAGTTCATTCTTATCAGAATAATAAAGAAAAACAAGTGTATATTTGAAACTTTTACTCCAAGTAAGTCTATCAACTCTGAAATTCTCCTTGATCTTTTCATTTCCCCCAATTTTTATCTTTCTTCTTTAAATTCTGCAGAGTTTCAGTGGGAAATTTTCTGTGATGAGGTGATCATCATGAAGCAGGACCACAATATTAACTTCAAATTCTATAAAAAAGAAGAAAATTTAAATACTTGTATATTTATTGTCATTCTTTTTTATAAAAACAAAATATTAATTCTTTGTCAGAATCAGCTGGCTTTAAACAGAAGACCTGACTAATGTGACAGTGTAGTCAGTATTATTTTCTTGTTTTTGTGTTGAATCTAATACCCTAGCTTAATCTTTCAATAAAAACAAAACGCCTATTTTCTATTATTCTTTTTAAATGCCTTCTGCATAAATTTCTATCTCACTTAAGAAGAGACAGTTATTACATTTCAAAAAGAATACTCCCTCCTCTTTTGCCTTTACTGTAACAAAAGAAATTATTTTGGAGTCACAGGATGTACTTGCATTTTTTTTTCTAATTCTGTTTTGTCATCTGAATAATAATGAGCCATTTATTTCTGCCCTGCTGTCTTTAAAACTAACTTGCAATCTGCTCTCTTTACAACTAGCTTGCAATGGTCCGGGTGGAAATCTGAAACCTTACATTTGCAAATGAGAAAAAGCAATTTCAGTAGCACTACACAGTGTAATTTTTCTTCCCTAGAAAATACATTTATATATAAACAACTTTACTTAGGCCCTCTTCTTTTTACTTTAAGCAAATGGAGAGCTTCACTAGCTCTTTAGCTGTGCTAGTTAAAACCTTTCAAATTACAGCGAAATAATATGTAGAAAATGAACATGTATCTGCTTCTTACATTGGAAAGAGAAGAGAGGAAATTAGAATCATAAAAATATAAAAGAAATGGATAATACAATTAAATATGCCTGGAGGCCTGATCATTTTAACGTTTGAAACAGGAATTAACCTGTTTCTACTTTAAGGAATCCTTCTGTGCCATTAAATTCACCAAGTGAAAATACACTCACAGGCTCCCCAGTATGGAATATGCTGAATCTTCTAAAGTCCTTCCCCCTCTTCCACTGGAGCTAATGCTCCCCATTCTCCTCAGTCTACTTCACCTCTAACCAGAGCCAGATTTACTTCCTTCCTTTCTGTTTCAGCAGAAGCAGTGTTGCTTAGCCTAATAAAATCAGTAGCTTTCCCATAAACATGACATTAAACCTAATTATAATTCTGTATTGTCTAATTATGTTTCTCTGACCAAAAACCAAACTAAACCAAAATAAAACTCACCAACCTGATTAAACAACAGATAATTTTTGGGGTGGGAGGAATTTACAAATTCTACAGCCTGAAAACCTATTATAACGCATATTTTTCCGCTGGAAAAATATGTGAGAATAAAAGAAACTAAGAAATTGCTTCAAAACTTTAAATTGTGGTCTTGCTTCAAGGAAATTCAACTTTGAGTCCACTTTTTGTTGTCACTCAAACACTAAATCTACTTTATCTTCATCAACTAAAGATATTGTCATGACTCCACTACATTATGCTCTATTTATACAGCTCTTTTTAAAGTGAAAAATCATGGCATAATTAATGAATGAGACATTCTGATTAGATATGTTTTGACAATGCATATAAAATTATGACATTAATGAAAACATTGGATTGGCTGCCTCAAAGGATAAACTACCATTAACTGCTCAGTGAAAATAGAAGAACAATACAGTAAAATTTTCTTGTGACAGATTTAACTATGCTTTCTGCTTGGCATAAGAAGTCTGATTCCTAAGAATGAAAGAAAAACACCATTCCTTGCAAATTTTCAGTCTGTGTGGCATGTCAGTTAAAGCCTAAATCATCAATTACATCTTACTACCATACTATCTCTTTGTCCAGTTAAGTTATTAAATGACAACTATGTACAAATTTTCACACTAAATGGCTAGCAACGTAAAGGCAGAAATTCTAGCAACTTGAGGTTATGGATATATCAAAACTGAAGTTTGAGAATTTTCTTGCCTACAGTAAGCTAATAAGATTTCAGTTGAGGACACAGAATCAAAGAGCACGAATGAGGTTTAACAAATGACAACTCAAGTATTGCCGTGGTCTGCATGAAATATATGAAAACAAAGAAAAACCTTCAGAATTTTGGGCAGATCCTCTGTGGAGGATTGATGGCAAGATATGGAAAATAGCCAAAGAAGGCAAAGATAAATGTGACTTACATCAGTGGAAGGAATGACAATGAGATCATGGATCCACTGAAGACAGAGCAACATAGAGATTTTTTAAACGTAAGAGGCTAATGATGATGATAATAATATAGTACATCTACTGTGTGTAAGTTTGATCACAATAACTTCACTTTCTTTTAAAAAAAAATTCACACAAAGGGGCAGCTAGGTGGCTCAGTGGATAGAGCACTGGCCCTGGAGTCAGGAGGACCTGAGTTCGAATCCAGCCTCAGACACATGACACTCAATAGCTGTGTGACTCTGGGCAAGTCACTTAACCCCAATTGCCTCACCAAAAAAAAAAAATTCACACAAGCTTTGAAGTTATAGATACAAACTTACCAACTTTGAAATTGGTAGTTTCAAGGGTAGGGCAAGTGAAAAGTCTAGGGAATATCATATATATGGGAACAGAAAGGCCCCTGCAAACATCACCATCAGCAATTTGAATATTCTGAATCTCTGTGGCATCTCTGGCATATCCTTCTGCACAACCTTGAGAAAGAAGAAAATAACTTAAAATTAAAACTAGAAACAAGAAGATACTGAAAACGTTTTAAGCAATATGAAATCTCTAAAAAAAATCCCATTTTTCTCTCTAATTTATTTACCAAAATTCATGGACAAATTTTTTTTAACAGGATTCTTTTCTTTTTTTTTTTTGCAACCCCCCCCACCTTATCTTATTTTTTCCTAATTACACATAAAGACAATTTTTAACTTTCATTTTCAAAAAATTTTGAGTTCCAAATTTTTCCCTCCCGCCTTTATCTCCCCCCTCCCTAAGACAGTAAGCAATGTGATATAGGTTATATATGTGCAGTGATATAAAACATATTTCCATATTAGACATGTTGTGAAAAAAGAAACAGGAAAAAAGAAAAAAAACCACAAATAACAAAGTAAAAATGATATGATTTTAAATGCTTCAAACTCCATCAGTTTTTTCTCTGGAGGTGGATAACATTTTCTATCATGAGTCTTGGAATTGTCTTGGACCACTGTATTGCCGAGAAGAGCTAAGTAATTCATAGTTGATCATTGCACAATGTTACTGATACTATGTACAATGTTCTCCTGCTTCTGCTCACTTTACTTTGCATCATTTCATGTAACTCTTTCCAAATTTTTCTGAAATCAGCCTGCTCATCATTTCTTATAGCACAATATACTGCATTACATTTATATACCACAACCTGTTCAGCCATTCTCCAATCGATGGGCACCCCTCCTCAATTTCCAATTCTTTGCCACCACAATAAGAGTTGCTATAAATATTTTTGTACATGTGGGTCCTTTCCCCATTTTTATGTTCTTTTTGGGATACAGACCTAGAAGTGGTATTACTGGGTCAAAGGGTATGCACATACAGCCCTTTGGGCATAGTTCCAAATTGCTCTCCAGAATGACTAGGGTCAGTTCATAATTCCACCGACAATGCTTTAGTGTATTGATTTTCCCACATCTAAAACATTTATCATTTTCCTGTTTTGTCATATTAGCTAATCTGACAGGTGTGATGTAGTGGTATCTCAGTTGTTTTAATTTATATTTCTCTAATCAATAGTGATTTAGAACATTTTTTCATAGGGCTACAGATAGCTTTAATTTCTTCATCTAAAAACTACCTGTTCATATCCTTTGACCATTTATCAATTGGGGAATGACTTATATTCTTATAAATTTGACTCAGTTCTCTATATATTTTAGAAACGAGGCCTTTATCAAAGACATTGGCTGTAAAAATTTTTTCCCATCTTTCTGCTTCCCTTCTATTCTTGGTTGCTTTGGCTTTGTTTGTGCAGAAACTTTTAAATTTAATGTAATCAAAATTATTCATTTTGCATTTCATAATGTTCTCTATCTCTTGTTTGCTCATAAATTCTTCCCTTCTTCACACATCTGACAGGTAAACTATTCCTAATGTACTTACAGGATCACCCTTTATGTCTAAATCATGTACCCATTTTGACCTTATTTTGGTATGCACTGTAAGATGTTGGTCTAATACCTATTTTCTGCCATATTGTTTTCCAGTATTCCTAGCAGTTTTTGTCAGATAATGAGTTCTTATCCCAGAAGCTGGCAATTTGAGTTTATTAAACCCTAGGTTACTACAGTCATTTACTACTGTAGACTGAGTGACCTAATTGATTCCACTGATCCACCACTCTATTTCTTAGCCAGTACCAGATAAGTTTGATGATTACCACTTTATAATGTAGTTTGAAATCTGATACAGCAAGAAAACCTTTCTTTGCATTATTTTTTCATTAATTCCCTTGATAGTCTTTTGTTCTTCCACATAAATTTCATTATTTTTTCTAGCTCTATAAAATATTTTTTGGTAGTTTGATTGGTAAGACATTGAATAAGTAAATTAATTTAGGCAGAATTGTCATTTTATTATATTGGCTTGAACTACCCATAAGCAATTGATATTTTTCCAATTGTTGTCATTTTTATTTTATCAGCTCAACCTACCCATGAGCAACTGATATTTTTCCAATTGTTCAGATTTGATTTTATTTGTGTTGAACAGCATTTTGTGGGGCAGCTAGGTGGCACAGCGGATAGAGCACCAGCCCTGGAGTCAGGAGGACCCGAGTTCAAATCTGGCCTCAGATACCTGACACTTACTAGCTGTGTGACCCTGGGCAAGTCACTTAACCCCATTGCCTAGCCCAAGGAAAAAAAAAGAGACAAAAAAAGTAAAGTTCATATAGTTCCTGGGTTTGTCTTGGCAGGCAGACTCCCAAGTATTTCATACTGTCTACAGTATTTTAAATAGAATTTCTCTATCTCTTGCTGCTAGGCTTTGTTGGCAATATATAGAAATGCTAGGGGCAGCTAGGTGGCACCAGTCCTGAAGTCAAGAGGACCTTAGTTCAAATCCAGTCTCAGACCTAATAGTTGACACTTACTAGCTGTGTGACCCTGGGCAAGTCACTTAACCCCAATTGTGTAAAAAAAAAATGCTGATGGTTTATGTGGGTTTATTTTATATCCTACAACTTTGGTAAAGTCATTAATTATTTAAAGTAGTTTTTAAGTTAATTTTCTAAGTATATTATCATATCATCTGCAAAGAATGATAGTTTTGTTTCCTCACTGCCCATTCTAACTCCTTCAATTTCTTTTTCTTCTCTTATTACTAGAGCTATTTCTAGAACAATACTGAATAATAGTTGTTACGATAATGTGCATCCTTGCTTCACCCCTGATCTTATTGGGAAGGCTTTTAGCTTATCCCCATTACAAATAATGCTTGCTGATAGTTTTAGATAGATATTACTCATCATTTTAAGGAAAATTCCATTGATTCTGATGTGTTTTGACTAGAAATGGATACTTTATTTTGTCAAAAGCCTTTTCTATACCTATTAAGATAATCATATGATTTCTGCTACTGATTTTTTGTTTTTTGTTACTGATATGGTCAATTATGCTGATAGCTTTCCTAATATTGAACCAGCTCTGCATTCCTGGTATAAATCCTATCTGGTTATAATGTATTATCCTGCTGATAAATTGCTGTAATCTCTGCTAGTATTTTATATAAAATTTTTGCATCGATATTCATTAGGGAAATTGATCTATATTTTTCTTTCTCTGTTTTTGCTCTTTCTGGTCTAGGTATATCAGCACCATTTTTATGTCAAAAGGAATATAGTAGGACTCCACATACATTTTTTGAAATTGTATATATGGTATTAGAATTAATTGTTCTTTAAAGGGTAGAATACACTTGTGAATCCATCTGGCCCTGGGGATTTTTTCTTAGGGAGCTCACTGACAGTTTATTCAATTTCTTTTTCTAAAATGGGGTTAAGTATTTTATTTCCTCTTCTGTTAATCTGGGCAATTTACATTTTCCATAAGCATTTATCAATTTTATTTAAATGTCAGATTTATTGGCATACAATTGGGTAAAATATTTCCTAATAATTGCTTTAATTTCCTCTTTATTGGTGGTGAATTCACCTTTTCATTTTTGATACTGGAAATTTTGTTTCCTTCTTATTTAATCAAATTAACCAATGGTTTATCTATCATTTTCCCCCCATAAAACCAGCTCCTAGTTTTATTTATCAGCTCAATAGTCTTCTTAATTTCAATTTTACTAATTTCACCTCTGGTTTTCATGATTTCTCATCTGATACTTAACTGTGGATTTTTAATTTGTTCTTTTTTTTTAAGTTGTTGTTTTTTTTAAGTTGCATGCCCAATTCATTGATCTGCTCTTTCTCTATTTTAATGATGTAAAAGCTTAGATAAATAAAATTTCCCCCAAGTACTTCTTTGGCTGCATCCCATAAATTTTGGTATGATGTCTCATTGTTGTGATTCTCTTTAAAGAAATTAGTTATTATTTCTATGATTTATTCTTTGACCCTCTTATTCTTTAGGATTAGTTTCCAATTAATTTTTAAACTATCTTTCAATTGCCCTTTACTGAAAGTAATTTTTATTGCATAATGATCTGAAAAGGATGCATTTAATATTTCTGCCTTTCTGCATTTGATTTTGAGGTTGTTATGCCCTAATACATAGTCAGTTTTTGTGTAGGTGCCATATACTGCTGAGAAAAAGGTATAATCTTTTCTATCCCTATTCAATTTTCTCCATAAGTCTGTCATATCACCTAACTTTTTTAAAGTTCTATTCACCTCCTTAACTTCTTTCTTGTTTATTTTGTGGTTAGATTTATCTAGTTCTGAGAGAGGACAGTTGGGGTCCCCTACTAGTATAGTTTTACTGTCTATTTCTTCCCATAACTCACTTAACTTCTCTTTTAAGAATTTCAATTCCATATACCACTTGGTGCATATATGTTTAGTATTGATATTACTTCACTGTCTATGGTACCTAAAAGGTATCACAGATGTAAGATGTAGTTTCTTTCCTTGTCTCTTAATTAGATCAACTTTTGCTTTTGATTTGTCTGAGATCATGATTGCTATCCCTGTTTTTTCTTTTTTTATGTCACTTGAAGCCCCTTATCTTTACTCTGTGTCTCTCTCTCTGATTCAAGCATGTTCCTTATAAACAACATATTGTTCCTTATAAACAACATTTTGGATTTTAATCCATTCTGCTATCCGCTTCCCTTTTATGGTTGAGTTCATCCCATTCACATTCACAGTTATGATTATTGTGTGCTTCTATCCATCATATTTTGCCTCTTGTTTACCCTTTTCTCTCTCCTTTCACCCCATCTCTCCTTACCAGTGTTTTGCTTCTGTCTACCACTTCCCCCAATCTGCCCTTCCTTCTGCTAGTTCCTCACCACCACCTTTGCTTAACCTCCTCACCTCCTACTTCTCTGTAGGGTAAGACAGATTTCTATACCCAACTAATTATGTATGTTATTCTCTCTTTGAGCCAATTCCAAATGAGATTAAGGTTCAAGCAATGCCCACACTGCCACCCACCAACTTCCTATATTCCCTCCATGTTTCACACCTCTTCATGTGAGATAATTTACTCCATTCTACCTCTTCTTTTCTTCTGCTCCCAGTGGAGTCCTCTTTCTCACCGCCCCCCCTTTTCTGGGCTATCATCCCATACTCATACTCTCTATGTATACTCCTTCTAACTGTACTAATAGTTCATAAGAATTACAAGTATCATCCCACGTACGGAGGTAAACAGTTTAGCCTTACTGAATCCCTTAGGTTTTCTCATTTCTTTTTACCTTTCTATGCTTTTCTCGAGTCCTGAAACTGAAAATCATTTTTTTTGTTCAGTTTTCATCTTTTCATCAGGAAAGCTTGAAAACCTTCTATTTCCCTGAATGGCCATCCCCCCCCCCCGAAGGATTATGCTCAGTCTTCCTCAGTAGTGATTTTTGGTCATAATCCTAGCTCTTTAGCCTTCTGGAATATCATATTCCATTCCCTTTTATCCTTTAATGTTGAAGCTAAATCCTGTGTAATCCTGACTGTGGCTCCAAGCTATCTGAATTGTTTCTTTCTGGCTGCTAGCAATATTTTCTCCTTGACCTGGGAGTTCAGGAATTTAGCTATAATGTTCCTGGGAGTTTTCATTTTGGGATTTCTTTGAGGAGGTTATTGGTGGATTCTTTCAATGTCTATTTTACGCTCTAGTTCTAGGATATCAGGGCAATTTTCTTTGATAATTTCTCGAAGTATGATGTCCAGGTCCTTTTTTTGATCATGGCTTTTAGGCAGTCCAATAATTCTTAAATTATCTCTCCTGGATCAATTTTCCAGGTTAGCTGTTTTTCCAATGTGATATTTCACATTTTTCTTCTGTTTTTTTTTTCATTCTCTTGATTTTCTTTGATTGATTCTTGATGTCTCATGGAGTCATTACCTTCTACTTGTCCAAATCTAGATTTTAAGGAGTTTTTTTTCAATTAGCTTTTTTACCTCCTTTTGCATTTGGCCAATTCTACTTTTTAGGGAATTCTTATCTTCAGTAAATTTTTGTACATCTTTTTCCACTTTCTGTGCTTCTTTTATCAAGCTGTTGACTCTTTTTTCATGATTCTCTTACATCATTCTCATTTCTTTCCTAATTTTTCTTCCACCTCTCTTGATTTTTAAATTTCTTTTTGAGCTCTTCCGGGAGTTCTTTTTGGGCCTGAGACCAATTCACATTTTTCTTTGAGGCTCTGCATGTGGATATTTTTGACACTATTGTCCTCTTCTGAGTTTGTGTCTTGATCTTACTTGAGACCAAAATATCTTTCAATGGTCAGGTTCTTTATTTGTTCTTTGCTCATCTTTTCCAGCCTATTTTGTTACTTTTAAAGTTGAGCTCTGCTACTACAGTGGAAGGGGCACTGGCCCAAGCTTCTTGCACTTGGGCTGCAGGCCCTGGCTGCTTGCCTGGTGTTACACTGAGGCCCATGGGAAGCCTGGTGCTCTGCTATGTCTGGGGACGGGGGTAGGGGGTGGGGAAGTCTGGTGGCTTACCTGGTGTTGTTTTGGTACCTGGTGGGGGCTTGGTTTTGCACCAGGGCCACTGGGAAGCCTGGTTGACAGCCTGATGTTGTGCTGGGACTCAGTTCAGGGGGGAGGATAGGAGGGGTGTTTTGCTGCTATGCTGGGACACATGGTGGGGGATGGGGGAGGCTGGTGCTCACCTGGGCTGCAAGGGTGGGTGGGTGGGACTAGACACTAGCCTACTGCTGCAACAGGCTGTGTGGCCTGAGTCACTGACCTGTTATGTGTGTTTTATGCATGTGTGTGTGTGTAGACACAGAGCTCTCCTTTTGAGAGAGAGATCCTTTCAAATATAGAGTTGAAAAACAGAAAAAAAAAAGTTCAGAAAAACCATCAATAAGCCTGAAATGAAATACAGGTTTAAATGCACCCATATCCTCCCACTTCTGCAAAAAACAGGGTGAGATGCCTTGTCCTATCTCTTCTTTGTAACCAAGCTTGGTCACTGGAATTTCACATCATTCAGTTTTGTTTTGTTACTGTCATTCCATTTTCATTGTTAAAGCCATTGTGTACATTGCTTTCCTGGCTCTGCTTACTTCACTTTGCATCAGTTCATAAAACTCCTCTTCCAGTGATTCTCTATATACATCATATTCATCATTTTTTATAGCATAATGATATTCCCTTCTAGACATACCACAAATTGCAAACAAAGGGCACCTAATTTGTTTCTCATTCTTTGCTACTACAAAAAATGCTGCTATAAACATTTCGATGAACATAGGGCTATCTTTGTGGCATAAGCTTAGCAGAGGTATTTCTGCATCAAAGGGTATGGGCATTTCAGTCACTTTCTTAGCACAATTCCTAACTGTTTTCCTGAATGGTTGAACCAATTCAGAACTCCGCAAATAGTGCTATAGGGCTATCCTCTAACTTTTTACATACATGCCATATTAACCTTTAAATATAGAAGAGTAACAAGAAGCAGCACTCATTAAGAATGAAGTGACTTACCACAGGTTTCCACTCGTACCAACTGCAACTCTATGTTTTTAATGGCAGCTTCTGAGTACTCAACCACCAGCTCCCCTGTTAATGGCTGGGTAATAATACAGTTGGTTGAGTTGAGATGTCCTCTGATGAGAAATTTGGGGAGGGAAGCTCTCTAAGGGGAAAAAGAAAATAAGTTAAAAATGGAGAAAATATAATAAGAAACTCTTCATTTGATATAAGTGCCTTATCTTCTTTAAAAGGAACTTAAAGGTCTTCTGGCCGATGCGGCTGCTTCAACAACAGCAGAATACCCAGCTCCCACATAGCTTCTCCCCAAACCTACAATTTGCAACAGACAGAAACATCAAGGAATAAAGAGAAATTCCACTATAATACCCCACAACTGCACAAAAAAAAATTACCTAGAGTCTCACAAACAATAGAAAAAGGGGTTATTTGATGAAACCAATTGCCAATATTAACAAAAAAATTCTATAACCTCCCATTGTTACCAGAAATGGGGCAGAGACACATGTTGACTTAAAGACTCTTTGTCCAAAATAACACAATAACAATAATAGAGGAGGCCCCCACAGAAAACCTAAGAAATCAGAAAGCCCAGGGTAGGTACCATGGAAGGTCCAGATAATAGTGATCAGAGACATGCAGCAGTACTGGGACAACATAGACACCTAAAGTCTCCAAGATTCCTAACACTCTGTCCAAAGATGCCATAGAAGGCCTTCACAATACAGTATTCTAAACCTCAAAGATCTAAGAGGTCCTAACTCTGGGAGGACTTTTAGACTAAAAAGTCTAAGATCAGACTTAATGGAAGTCAACAACAACAACAACAAAAGATTAGAAAATGAAAATGTTGAAATAGAAGAAAATCTAAGATATCTCAAAAATACCTGACTTATAGAACAGGTTGAGAGATAATTTAAAAATTATCGTGCAAACCTTATTCTCTATTTCTGCATGCTCCATTATTCCCATTCCCCTAAATCCAACCCACCATCCCACTGACTTACTATTCTAGAGCTACCCAACTCTTCACTGTGCTCTCTAGAATGCCTGTTTCATCAGTAATAAACTTAATTAAATCAATTTTTTTCACATTTATTTATTTATTTTTAATTTATGGAATAAAACAAGCACTTCCAAAAACAATGGCTGCACATGAAACTGCAAATCTATCATGTACAACTTGCTATTCCTTTTAAACATATAAAAGTTATGATGTAAATTTTTTCCCCCTTTTTTTCTCTCTGTAGTTCCTCTCCCCCAGAAATGGCTACCATTAGACCATTATGAAACATATATATATATATATATATATATATATATATATGTAAAATTATTCTATACATTCTTCTACTTATCAGTTCTTTCTCTGGATGCAAATAGCATCTTTCTTCATATGTCCTTATAGTTTATTTGGATATTTATAATAATCAAAATGCATATTCGCTTAAAGTCATTCTTACTGTACACAATGTTCTCTTGGTCCTACTCATGTCGCTCTTCATTATTTCGTGCAAGTCTTTCCAGGTTTTTCTAAGATCACTGAGCTCATCATTTCTTATAGCTCAGTAGTATTCCATCACAATCATATACCACAACTTGTCCAGCCATTCCCCAACTGATGGGCATCTCTGCAATTTTCAGTTCTTTGCTATCACAAAGAGAGCTGCTATAAACATTTTAGAACATAGGTTTTTTTCCCTTCTTCCTTTATCATCCTTGCCTTTTTTTTCTTTTTAAAATTTATTTTATTTTCAATTCACGGAACAAAGCAAGCATTTTCATAACACAGCAAAATTAAAAAAGATGATTGTACATAAGCTGCAAATCTACCATGCACAACTTGCAATTCCTTCCAAATATACAACAAAATTGTCAAGCAAATTTATCTGGATGTAGACAGCGTCCCTCCTCCTATATCTTTTATTTTTAATTTGTATATTTATAACAGCAAAATGTAACAGATATCCATTCATTCATTATAATCAATATAAGCCACTGTACGGTCATGATGGAAATAAAGGTAGACTGAGGAAGCAAAGATCCGAGCATGATCAATTTATTAGCTAGGCTTTTTGTTGTTGTTTAATTGGCTTTCAGCTGTATCTAACTCTTTGTGACCCCTTCTGAGGTTTTCCTGGAAAAGATACTGCAGTGGTTTGCCATTTCCTTCTTCAGCTCATTTTACAGAACTAAGGTAAATAAGGTTAACTGACCTGCCTAGGGTCACACAGTATCTGAGTATCTGAGACTGGACTTGAATTCAGGTCCTCCTAATCCCATGACAGGCCCTCTAATCCACTGTGCCACCTAGTTGTGGACTGTTTTATGCTGCTTTAACTATGTTTTTGGTGCACTGTTGTTGTTCAGTAGTGACCCCTTTTGGAGTTTTCTTGGCAAAGATACTGGAGTGATTTGCCATTTGAACTCAGCACGGTGAATCTTCTGGGCCCAGTTATTCACTGTACCATCTAGCCACCCCATTAGCTAGGCTAGTAGTCACCAATAAACTGGGTCAATGAGTCCTCAGCAGTCAAAGACCCCTAGTGAGGGCTGTTCCAACAGGAAGACAGCAAAAACTTGAGTAACACAGGTGTGACTTCTTATGACTGGCTAGAAAGTTAAAACCTCTGACACCAGCTTGACATTATGTGATTTGGAACTCCTCTTCTGAAATCCCCTTAACCATAAACAAGCCACATGATTTGAAGAATTTGGGTGTGGCTACAACTACTCTGACTGAATCAGCTAGATATTTAGGTTAAGTAAGTTTCTCCAGAATGTGGGTGAGAGGTGAAATTACAAGGGAAGAGGCACAAGTAAAAAGTCAAGGGTAGAGACACGAGTCATGAGACAAAGGTGGAAGTACAAATCAGATACAAGTCACAAGAACAGAATTGTAACCCAAATGACTTGAGGTTACCTGAGTAAACTTGCAAGGGTAAGAAAAAGCAAGAGGGAATATTAGATCTAGTACGATCAAGTCTTAACAAAATAGTATTAAAAATCAATTTTCAACTTCATAGTTTGCAGTATCGAACAATTATTGAAACCACTGTTATAAAGAAATAGAATTAATTTTTTCTGACACCTTGATATTGGCACACAAAGGAAGACATTTCAGTTAGTCAAACTCATAGCAATGTATATTAAAAAACCACTCACTTCTTTAACATTCTGCAAGGTTTCAGGTGTGATTGTAAAATCCACAGGACTTGGAGTTGATTTGCCCTTCTGAGGCTAAAATTGGAAAGTAAAAGCAAATAATGTTAGTTTAAGACACAAAGAATTCTGTAAATAGCAGTCTTATTTCTATAAAAACAAGGTCCATAAATAATCTTAACATGATTGTGAAAGTATCTATTTTGAACTTATTCCTTAAAGTCACATATACACAAATCTAAACCTATTTTTTAAAAGAAATCTCACCTTTACAATTATATTCACAATGACTGTGCCCAAACTAGCAATCAGAGCTTCCAAATCTAAGTTTGTATATAAAACCCAAGTGCAGTGTATAATTATAATTAGAAGAAAAGTAGCTCAAGGAACTTTCATAGCCGTAGTTAGGAAATATATTCTTTGCCAAAAAGAAAAGGAATAGGGACAATTACAGAAGATAAAATAGACAATTTTGTTTACATGAAACAGAACAGTTTCTGAACAAATTAATTATTTTAAGTAAAGACTGGAAATAGTAGAATGGAAAAAAAAATTTGTATCAATTTCCTACATAAAGGTTTGTTGTCCAAGCTATGTAAATACACACATAGTTTTATTATTTAATATTTCTTATCTTATTAAATTGTTCATAATATGACTTGTCACATGGAGTAACTGGCTTCTATTTCATCTATTCTGAGGGAACTGAGGAGATTAGGACAGCACATGGTTAACTTATGAGAATTGAGAGAACCTCACTGACTCTATCTTGTGACTCAGTTCTGGAGCTAGCTCAGTTCCCTTTCTAATCAATTATGGGTCTTGTCCAAATTCAGTCTTGTGAGAAAACTTTATTCAACTGTGGAAATTGGGAGAAAACCTTATTGCACTGTTTAAACCTAGCCCCGCATGGCTGGGAAACTGGACCATCTCTCCCTGCTGTTTAGAGACCCTTGACCAAGGACCCAGGTTATGCTGACCAGAAACCCACTTGGATCCAAAGACGGATGTGAGGAGTTTTCTCACAATTGCTCCCATTAGGATATCCAGGTTCCTCCCTTACAACCATCACTCAGTAACCCCTTCTCTCCTTTGGGTTCACGCAATCCACTCAATCAAAATTCTGGTAGCTGTTTTCTACATACCTCCAGGACATTCCTCTTCCTTCCTCAAGGAGTTCAGGACATAGCACAAAATCTTTCTCTTCTCCTCAATTCCTGGCCTCGTACAGGGGACTTCCACATACATACTGATACTCCCTCAAACACCTTAATTCCCAATTTCTCAACCAACTCATTTCCCATGATCTTCTACTCTACTGCACTTCAGTCACAGACAAAGCTGGTCATATCCTGGATCCTGCCATCACTCACAACTACACCACCTCCATGCACAGAACTTTGAAATCCCGTTTGGTTGTTCAGTCATTCAGATGTGTCCAATTTCACAATCCCATAGACCATAATGCATGCCAGGCCCTTCTATCCTCTACTATCTACTGAACTCCGTCCAAACTCATGTTCACTGCTTCCATGACTCTATCTATCCATCTCATCCTCTGCCATCCCCTTCTTCTGCCTTCAGTCTTTCCCAGCATCAAATGAAGAGTCTGAATTAATTTCTTTAAGTACTGACTGACTTGATCTCCTTGCTGTCCAAGGAATTCTCAAGTCTACCATAAATACCCAAATTAACTACTAAGGAGATATGAAGGAAGACACTATCTGCATCCAGAGAAAGAAGTAATAAATAGCAATATGTATAGTGATTGTACATATATATATATATATATATATATATATATAATGGCAGGGTGGGGGGAAGAGAAAGAGGAAAAAAAAAGAAATTTACATGGTAATTTTATTATATATTTAATATGAATCACAAGCCGTACATAATAGATTTTCAGATTTTGACCAAGATGTCATCCTGAACTCCTCACTATCTCTCACCCTGATATATCAAATCTGTTGCCAATGTGTGTCAATTTCACCTTTGCAACATTTCTAGAATACACTCCCATCTCTCCTCTGATACTTCCACCACCATGGTGAAGACCCTCATCATCTCATGGTTGGACTATTCCAACAGTCTGCTACTGGATCAAGGGTCTTTCCCCCTTCAATCCATTTTTCATTCAGTCTAAAACAATTTTCCTAAAGTGCAGGTCCAATCATGACAGTTCCCCTCTCAATAAACTCTAATAGGCCCCTACATCTCCAGTAGCAAATACAAAACCATCTATTCGGCATTCAAAGCCTTTATAACTTAACCCCCTCCTATCTTTCCAGTCTTCTTACAGCTTACTCCCCACCACATACTCTTCAATCCGCTGACATTGACCTCCTTACAGTAAAACTTTGAGATGAGTGCTATTAATTATCCCAATTTTACAGATGAGGAAACTGATACAAATAGAGGGTAAGTGACTTGTCCAGGGTCACATGGCCAATTAGTGTCTGAAGATGGATTTGAACTCAGGTTTCCTGACTCCAGGCCTGGGTCTATCTACTGTGCTGCTCTGCAAACCTTAAAGCACTATATATCTATATATCTCTATCTATTTATACATAGAGATATAGATATATATGCTAGTTATTATTGTTAGTATCTGGACAGGCTGAATTGAGTTGAATTTAATAAGATAAAATTTAAAAGGGATAAATATAAAGTTTTACATTTGGGTTCAGTTTTGTATTTGGTTTAACTTTGTGAAGTAAAATCAGCTTCACATGTACTAGATGGGGGAGATATGGCTAGTTAGCAGTGTGAATGAGATATGAAATTTTAATGGATGGTAAGCTCAACTTGAGTTAATAGTGCAATATGCAGCCAAAAGCTAATACAATCTTAAAAAGGCATGTGGCATTAGGAAGAAGATGGCAGTTTTACCATACTCTGGCCTAATCAGACCACATAGGGGTTTATCTGTGTTTGGTTTTAGCTGCCACATCTTAGGAAGAACACTAAGAAGCTAGAGGCAACCAGACTGGTGAATGCATAACAATCATGTTAACATAAAGATCAGTTGAAGGAAATGGAAGCCTAGAGAAAAGAAGTTTTATTGTAGTACACAGGTAGGACATAAAAGTTATCTTCAAGTACTTAAAGGACAGTTACATGGAAGAAGGTTTAGACTTTGATATGCATGGTCATATTGGGCAAAACTAGGAACAAATGATTGGGAAATATGGAGGAAAAGATTTCAGCTTGACGTAAAAAGAAAAAAAGCCTCATAATACCCATATGTTCAGAATGCTTTTTTTTTTTAAAATAAGAGTTGGGAGAAGCGCTGACATACATGCTCCAGCAAAATCCTACAGTTCACAACAGACTTAAGAATGAGAAGTGTCAGCCTAAGATCAATACGAATGCCAGAAAAAGTAGCTGCAACACAGGGGAGTCTCCTGGTAAGACTGGAAACACCAAGTAGCCTGTAGTGCTCTGTGTCCAGAAACAGAAAAAAAGTGAACAGATCTTCCTGAAAAGAATCTCAGGGTGGGAGCAATAGGTCAATGGATAGCAAACAGCACACACAACACAGCAGCTCTCAGACCAAGCCACACCAAGCCAGGGGATCTATGGCATCTGATGCTCAGTGCTAAGAGGAAGAAAGTCCCTAAAGATACAGCCCTCTGGACCTCAAAGATCTAGGAGACACTAAATTTAGGAGTTGGAGGTCATCCTGGGAATCCAGGTGACCCACAGCAAGACCAAACAGGACCAAAGCACCTCACTCCAAACTTCAGCAGTAGGTATATCCTGGCCTTGGCACAAAGCTACAATTCAGGAACTAAAGATGCAGAGATGAGTTCTTTGATTTCAAAGAAAATACTAACCAGTATTAAAACTTATCACAAATTTAGAGATCTATAAAAAGGAAAGAATAACTAACAACGGCAAGCAGAGACTCAAAGGAAAAAATGGATTTTCAAGGACAACATGAATATATAGAAAAAATGAAGAGATTTTTAAAAATAAAATGTTATAGAAGAAAGAATTAGAAAAATAAATAATTTAGAAAAGAGAATAGGAAATCTTACCCTTGAAATGGAGTCCCTGAAAACTAGAATAGACCAAAGAGAAATTGGGGCACAATGAAACAACAAAAAATATTAGAACAAAATGAAAATATTGGGAAAAATGGAAGAAAATACAAGTTACATAAGTTATTCGGTGTCAAATACAAATGACCTGGAAAACAGGTCAAAGAGACATAATTTAAGAATCAATGCACACCCTAAAAACTTTGATTTTTAAAGTTTTAAAAAGCTAAAACACTACGTGTCAAGAAATCATCAATGAAATCTGCCTAGAACCAGAAAACAAAGTGAAGACAGACTCTATTAATCATCTCCTGAAAGAAACTCCAAAAGGAAAAGTTCTGGGAATATCAGAAAGAAAATCCTTAGCTCCCACTTCAAAGAAAAAAATACTCTAGGCACTCAGAAAGAAACACTTCATGTAACAACAAACAGGATTACACAACACCTAGCAGGCTTCTTTTATTAATAAAGATCTTAGAATACATGTTTCCAAAAGGATACCAGAATAATTTAGTCTGAGAAACAGATTATAATTCTATAAGGGGGAAAAAGTGGACTTTTATTGGTATAGAGAACTTTCAAGAATTTCTGGTGTAAAGAACAGAGCTAAGCGGACCTCTAAAATACAAATACTGCAGAGAAACCTAGAAAAGGTAAAATTATTTGAGCAACTGGAAGGGGTTATATGATGGTGTAGAACTAACATTCTGATAGAAGGAGGGAAAAAACAAATGTCCTTTCAGAACCACAATGACTTCAAAGGGTATTATTGAGGGAGTCAAATAAGAAAAATAGAGGTCCTGATGTTTGACTGTTCCTGTTTGGGCAGGAGGGGGTTTAAAGAGGGAAAAGAAAAGGTTGGGTAAAAAGGGGAATATACTAGTGTAGAAAAAAAAGAAAAGAGGGTAATTTGCTGTTTTTTATACTTGGAGTAAGTTGAGCAGGCATTAGATAAACCTCTACAGAGGATGAGATAGAGAAAACAGGCATTAGATAAACCTCATTCTTACCAAAACCAGGTAAGATTCCCCCCACCCCCACAAAATCTCATGTGGAAATACATCAAATGGAACAGCAAAACAAGAGATCATGTTGGAAGGATGGATGATCCCGTAAGAGAATAGTCACAAGCAAAATAAACTTCCTGATCCTGAAGGGAGAACAGAGAAGGGGACAGGAGGGTGAGGGAAGAGAAAGAACTAAGAGTGCTTTAGATTGGTTCTTGAACAACAGGGGAATGAGCGAACAAATTGTGATATATACATGTAAGGGATTATTATTGTGCCATAAGAAATGATTAAAGACTATTTCAGAGAATCCTAGTTAGCATGAACTGATGCAGAGTGAAGTGGGCAGAACCAGGAGAATAATTTATGCAAGGAGAACACTGCAGACACAAAAAGATTTAAGAACTCTGATGAAAGCATTAACCAATCATGTTTCCTGGAGGATCTATGATAAAAGGCAAGTTACCCACTTCCTGAGAGAGAGGGGATATTCACACCAGGTGTAGAAAGAGGCATACGATTTAGGACATTATGGCCGCTGCGTGAATCTGTTTTGCTTGATGATGCTTATTTGTTATAAGGAGTTTTTCCTCCCCTTTCTTTCTCTTAGTTAATAATAAGAGGGGTAGGGTCACAGGGAAAGGGATGTTGTCAATAGTGATTTCCCTCAAAAGAGAGACATTGCAATGTATCTTCAAATACCCAGAAGAGAGGAAGTTCAAAAGTAAACAGGATAGTTTTGAAAGCAACATGTGGAATTTGCTGTTTGTTTTTTAAAGCAAAAGTTTTTAAATGAAAATTCACGGTTTTATATGGAATCCACATTTTCTCTTCTGCTTTGTGTATGCAAATGCATTTTTTTTTGGTGTTTAAGTTCACAGGAAAGAAATGGAAAGTTAAAAAGAGGGCAAGTGAAGAAAAGAAAGTTCTGAAAGAAAAACAGTTTTGAAATTATGTACAGAATTTATCCTATGCTTTTTAAATTTTGAAATTATGTGTAGAACTTATAATGTGCTTTTTAAAAAAGCAAGCTGGTATGACATAGATTCATAGCTTCACATAAAATCTGTCCTGTGTATAGAAATTTATTTTTTGGTGTTTAAGTTTAGATTAAAAATAAAATTTTAAATTAAAAAATGACCATAGGAGAACAGGAGGAAGTAGACAAGGTGTTTTGAAAGTAACATGTGGATATTTATAATGGGTTTTATTTTTTTTTCTTTGTCAATGAATAGGGGAGAGGGAAGTAGATGGGACAGAATTCTTAAGTGAAAATTTAGTGAAAATTTTAAAGTATTACATATTTTTTAAAAAGTCTAGTTGTGAAATGGAGATTCAAAGTTTCATTAAAAAATCATTTTTGTGTTCTGATGTGTATACAGAAAGGCTCCTTTTTTGTGTTAAAGTTCAGAATTTAAAAATTAAACTAAAAAAAACCTCTAGTACTCAGAGAATAAAAAAAAATTAGGAATCAATAAACAAGGTGGGCATCAAATACCATTTTTGACAAAAGAAACTGACTTATGATCTCTGACTTGTGACCAACTCTGCTGTATTACTAAATTTCAGAAAAGCCCCAGCCATGCTTCATTTCATCCCCTCCTCTCTGACAACCTCATAATCCTCCACCTCTTCGTTGACAAACTCCTTATCTCTGAGGACATATTCTCTCTTCAACCTCCCATTTTGGAACCATGAACTGCAGCTCTCCCTAAAATTTTGACTAGGGGGTAAAGTGTATTAGGAATGATTTCCTAACCCCTCCTTCACTTGCCCCAGGCAGGTTAGGCTTGTGTTCTATTAGGCTGCACAGCTTGAGTTAGAGCAAGGACATTAGGTATGAGTATTTACAGGAAATGGTTACTCAGGAAGCTCTACCCACTGGTTAAAAGCTTTTCAAGCTCTTCTAAAGCAGACGTGTCAAATTTATGGCCCCCCAAACTCTTCAATGAACCTGCACCAGATTAAAAGGTAATTGGGAAATGTTTTTTAAAAATTAGTAAAAATACAATAGAATATAGATGATGTTAAGTTTATGGTTTTCTAAGTCTATATGCAACCCACAAGTATCTGTTTCTATTTGAGCTTGACACCACTAGTTTAGAGGACTTTCCACTATTTACGGGCAGTGAGGCAGCACAGTAGATAGAGGGCTGGGCTTGGAGTCAGGAAGATTCATCTTTCTGAATTTAAATCTGGACTCAGACATGTACTAGCTATGTGACCCTGAGCAAGTCACTTAACCCTGTTTGCCTCTGTTTCCTCATCTTTAAAATGAGCCGGAGAAGGATTGACAAAGCACTCCAGTATCTTTGTCAAGAAAACTCCAAATGGAGTCATGAAGAGTTGACCACAAGTAAAACAGTCTTAACAACACAACAAACTACTACTTAACTGATTTTAGGGCTGTTATCCCTCAATCCTGACTTCAGGTGTTCAAGAAACTTGACATAGCACTGAAAAAGGAAGAGATAAACTAAAACAGAAACATAACAAAAATAAAACAATTTTAACATTTCCCTGAAAGTGTGACTGAATCTGGGAGAGTCCTAGGAATGACCTAGTCCTGGGACTAAATGATCAAGTCCATGTGGTAAGTGCTGCCAAATTTTTACAATTCACAGGGTCTCTCAATTAAAAAAAGGTGATTCTTTAGTAGGAACATCATGGTTACAGTAAAGATGATGAAATTTCCTGCACAATCACAAATCAGGAAAAAATATGATCTCATAACATTCCCAGGGTGGAGAGAAAAGAAATACAAAATTTTTGCTTTAGAAGAGTACTCTGAGGGCCTATCCCCTTTCTTCTGTGGAGGTTCACTAAGGGTGAAGATAGGAAAAAGAAGAAAGAGTGGCTGGTGCAAGGGAGCTGGCCTGGAAGGGAACTAAGGAGTCAAAGGAGTGGAAGTCACAGAGAGGATAAAGAACAAGATTTAGTAAGAGAAGGTAGAGAGAAAGGTGAAAAGCCAATAGAACAGGGTCAGATAAGGGGGTCTGGGAATGGTAAGAGCAAAGGTACGACCATCTTTGTGTGTAGCGCAAGTAGAATGGAGGTTACCAAGAGAATATAGAAAAACAAGTGGTGGCAGCTCAGGAAAGAACCTTGGGTTAACACCTATAATCAGGGTACATGACATAGTTGATGCTCTAGCAAAAGAAAGCAAGAAGTTAGTGTCTACTGGATGACTCTTTTAGGTACTTCACTCACTCCTATTTGAGGGTTTTTTTTTAACCTTCCTTCACTAAAGTGGCTTTCATTAAACTAACAAGATGATTCCAGATGCTATTCTAGAATAACATACTATCTCTATGAAAAAACTGTTTTTCTTTGCAACAATGTTTCATCATGCTACATGTATAATTTGCCATTTATATACTAATAGTATTTAGAGGAAATGGATTTTTCACATGACCTAAAAATGTCAACTTTTCAGTGGTTTTGCTTCTTGCCATGGTGTCCTCAAGCTGCCTCATATGAGGCATGCAGATTCAAACTCAATAGTAACTTTCCTCAGGAATCTAACTCCTTGAACCACAGTTTTGTTGCATAAAATCTGGGCAACAGGGGGCAGCTAGGTGGTGCAGCAGATAGAGCACTGGCCCTGGAGTCAGGAGGACCTGAGTTCAAATGCGGCCTCAGACACTTGACACTTACTATCTGTTGTAACCCTGGGCAAGTCACTTAACCCCACTGCCTAACCAAAAAAAAAAACTGGACAAGGAGAAGGAAAGTCTGGCAAGAATTGAATTTGAAGTTTGTGAATCTGGCTGCAAATGAGGAATTTATTACCCCCATGCAAAACTGAAAAGTGGTTGCAGTTCACCTTTATTTTCATCCACTTTTTTCCAGCCTATTCTTTCCTCCCACACATCCTCCTCTTCCTTACAGGCAGCACCTATCAAATACTTCAAGGCATGTTTCCATGTAAATACAGAACTTGAGAAGACTGAAAAATCTTTAAGACACCCCTTCTCCAAAATGACTGCTGAGTGCCCCTCAAAAACATATTACATGAGTGGCTGCCAATCGATAAGGCCCTATCACCTACGGTGAGAGAGATGCTGTACTGGTATTTTTTTATTTCTTTTATAATGTGAGAAAAATCAAGCTATACTAAAAAGTGTTGTAACTTTAGAATCCAAAAGAAGACCTAGGAGAGAGAAATTAGACATAAACTTAGAATAAATGAAATCTAGTGTTGTATAAACAACTTCTCCTGATTTCCTTTCTTATTAGTTCTAGTTTTGAGGAGTGTCTGAGTTGAATCTGATAGTACAGCAATCCGTGCTAACACTCCCTAATATCAAGGACAGCCCCCAAATGGTCTACAAGCTAGTCTAGGCAAAAGATAAGCTTCTTAAGGACAGGGCCTTTTTTTGTACTGTATGTAACCTGAATATCCAGCATGGCAACCTGCACAAATAGGTACTTAAAAGTGGTGGTGGAATTGACTGATCTAACCTAAATTCATTCTAGAATCAATGCAAGAGGGATGAGGGTCATATCAGTCTCTGAGTGTCTCAGCTTGGCATACACAAAGTAGATTATAGAGGCATCTTTCATTACTATAAAACATGACATGTAGCCCTTCTACCCCAGTAAGATATAAGCTCCTTGGGGACAGTATTTTTATTCCTTTCTCTTTATATATTTAGCACTTCCATCAAAAAGTCCTAACTCTAATGTCTTACTGTAGGGTAAAGGCAGAAGTATCCAAATGTCCCCATGCCTTAAATACTTAAGTACTTGTGTCTTAAATACAGGGGATAGGGACCACCCGTATGAATTCATCAGAACAAGGAACTAATGAATGAGGAAATTCTAACAATGCAGGTCAGTATCTTTTCTGGTCTTTCTTTATTCACAATACCATGATGCTTTTCATAGAGTAAACACTTTAAAAAGCATTGAACGGAATGACTATAATAAGAAAGTTTCTATCTTCAAATATTAAAATGGAGACACTACCCAGATCGTATCTTACAGTAGAATGAATGATGAATTCACATATCTTTGTCAAGTCCTTGGCCAACAAAGAGCGTCTCAGGTCACACCGGAGGGTATACTGTAGGAAACAAAATTGGAAGAAAAATGTTGCTTCAATGAAATTTATTTTCAATTTCACTATGCCTGTTTAAGGCAATTTTTATTTGAAATTTTATACAAATTTCTATAAGCCTGTTTTTTCCTTAATAGTTTTACAACTACTAACAAAATAATGTAAACACATTTAATAGAATCCCAATCAATGATTTATTATTTGTTTAGCCCATGTTCTTTTTACCTTCTTTGCCATTTTGTTTTAATATATCAGAAGTCAATTTAGATATTTTTCTGCTAATTCAGCTCTCTTCACGTTATTTGATAAAAAAGCCTTCTATATTTCTTCATATTCGTCATGTTTATTATTTTCAAAAGAATTATATCTCATTAAACTTCGTGGTACTGTGTAAAGGGTGTTGGATTTGGAATCAAAGGACCTGGGTTTAAATCTCAGCTCTGTCACTTACTACCTACGTCACCTTGGGAAAGTGAAAAGCATTCTCCAAGGGGGAGATGGAGAAGTCTAGAGTCAGGAGAAAAGCTAGAATAGTGAAGAAACAGATATAGCTGAGCCGGGCCCTCCCTTCAAATGGAGGCTCCAGGAGGAACTCACAATTAGAAGATGGGACCTGAGGAGTAAAGGGATCTTCCTGGGTGAGAAGGCTGCGGGAGGAGGATGGAAAGCGCAGAGAGATGGACTTAGATGACTTGTAAGGTTCCTCCTACCTCTAAATCTATAATCATGACATACGCCACCTTCTGTTTAGACATTTTCCTCCCGTTAGACTGCTGTTTCCAGTTTTTTACTATTACTGTCATAAGCAGCTGTAAACACTTTGACAGTTTTCAGCTGGTATTTTTTTGATGATCCTCTTAAGATGCATTCCCCAAAGAGGAACACTAACTGGGTCAAAGGGCATCATCATTTTCATTAACTTATCAGATAATGCCAGATTATTTTCTAAAAATATCTCACAAATTCGTAGAAGCACCCACAAATTTTGTTATTTTTGCCATTTGGCAGTGTGGTAGCAGCTTAGTTTTGTCCTGATGCCCATTTCTTTGGATATTAAAGAGGTTTAACTTTGGGGAAAGGAGTGATTATTTATAATTCAAGATAAACATCAAATATGACAACATGAAATTGATTCCAGTTAATAAATTACATAAAAGTCAAGGAGAACAAGTTTCCACACTGGCTGCGTCCAAAAATAACACATGTCTCATTCTGCACTCTATCCTTTACTCCTCCATCAAGAGATGAGTAGTACATTTCATCATCTGTCCTCAGGAATGACAGTTGGTCACTATGCTGCAGAATTCCTAATTCTTTCAATGTTTACTCTACCATATGGTTGTCAATGTTAACTGTTCTCCTGATTCTGTTCACTTCCCTCTATATCTGCTTCAGAGAAGAAGCCATCACTTTCATTATTTCGCATAGCACAATAGTATGCCATCACATTTAGATGATATAACTTGTTTGGCCATTCCACTGTAGATAGGTACCCTCTCAAACTCCTATTCTTTACCACTTCGAAAAGAACTAAAACTATTTTTCTACATCTGTAGAGTTTGTTTTGCTTAGGACTAAACCCTCCCTTAATCTATCCTTCCTCTAATTCTCCTTTTCCCTATTTTCCTATTGAGTGAAATGTATTTCTGTACCCAACTGAATGTGTATATATTCTTCTCTCCTTTCACTAGTTCAGATGACAATAGATGTCTTTTTGAGCATTCTGATGATGTGAAATAACTTTCCCTAAACTTTCTTTCCTTTTCTCACTCCTCCCCCCAAGTGTATTCCTCATTTCCTCTTTTTCCATTCTTCTTATGATCAAGACATAAAGAAAACCACTTCTGGTGTTCTCCAGGTAGACTAACTCTATGACCTTTGATGATGATGGGTTTCAGTAGGGATATGTGTATCAGTCCTCCCATATTTGAATTTTAGAGAGTTTATAAACAGTAACTTAAATAGCTGAAATAGTTCAATAAGCAGCTTATCTGTGTTTGCTTTTTTATGTCTCTCAACTCCTGTGTCTGAATTTCAGAGTTTCTACACAGCTATGGTCTTTTCATCGGGAATAATTAGAATTCCCCTATCTCATTTTTCCCCTGTAGCATTCAGTTTTGCTGAGTAGGTCTCTGTTACTTTATTGCTGTGGCTGGTAAACATGTATTTGATTTGATTCTTTAGTTCTGACTGTCATTTATCAATACTTGAATTCTTCCATTCTGGCTACTTGCAGTAATTTTACTTTGAGCTGGAAGCTCTTGACTTAGACAATGATGCTCCTGGGAGTTTTCATTTTGGGGTTTTGTTCAGGAGGTAATGGTAGATTTTTTTCTAATTCCAATTTGCCCTATGGTTCTAAGAGATCTGGGAAGTATTCTTTTTTTTTTAATATAAATTTATTTATTTTTAGCTTTCAACATTCACTCCCACAAGTTTTTGAATTCCAAATTTATACCCCATCTCCCCCCTCCTCCCACCCCAAGATGGCATGCATTCTGAATATCCCTTCTCCTTCTCTTATCCCCTTCCCTTTCTATTTTCCTGTAGGGCAGGATAGACTTCTGTACCCCATTTCCTGTATTTCTTATTTCTCTGGGAAGTATTCTTTTAAAGATTTCTTGAAACATAATGGTGAGGCTCTGTTTCTGGTCGTTTTTTTATCCTCAATCTGCTTTCTAGGTCAGTTGTTTTAGCTATGAGATATCTCAACATTTTCTTCAATTTTTTCAGTATTTTTGACCTTGTTTTAATATTTATGTCTCATGCTTAGCTATTCTCAGCAATACAATGATCCAAGACAATTCCAAAGGACTCATGACGAAAAATGCTATCCACATCCAAAGAAAGAAGTGATGGAGTCTGAATGCAGATCAAAGTATAATATTTTTCACTTTATTTTTTTCATGGGTTTTTTTTCCCCTTTTGGTCTGTTTCTTCTTTCACTACATGACAAACATGGAAATATGTTTTACATGATTACACATATATAACCTATACCAAATTGCTTATTGTCTTAGGGAGGGGGGAGGTGAGGGAGAAAGGAAGAAAATTTGGAATCCAAAATTTTTTAAAATGAATGTTAAAAAGTCTTTACACGTAACTGGGAGGAAAAATAAAATGTATATTTTTAAAAATTACGTCTCAGGGAATCATTGGCTTCTATTTGATCCAACTGTAATGTTCAGGGACTTAATCGCTTGGGCAAAGTTTTTTATCTCTTGTGCCAAACTGCTAATTCCTTTTCCAATTATTTTTTCCATATCTCTCATTTCTTTTCCTTTTTTTTCCTCAAGCATTTTCATTGCATTTTTCAAAACATTTTTAGATTTTTTTTTAAACTCTTGCTTCATTTCTCATCGGAATTTTTCAATTTGTGCTCAAGCCGTGTTGTTGTCTGAGACGCTGCTTGTAGATGTTTGGGAGTCATTCTCTTCTGGGTTTGTGTTTTGAGCTTCTCTGCTACTATAATAGTTCTTTCTTTTTTTGTTTCTCTGTTTATTTATTCTTTTTTTTTTTTTTTGAAACTGGGTCTCCCTGTCTAGCTTGTTTTTTTTTTGGTTGGTTGGTTGGTTTTTGGTGAAGCAATTGGGGTTGAGTACCTTACCCAGGGTCATAGAGCTAGTGTCAAGTATCTGAAGGGATTTGAACTCAGGTCCTCCTGACCCCAGAGCCAGTGCTATATCGACTGTGCCACCTACCTGCCTGTTTGCTTAGTCTTTCAGCCTGCTTTCTGACTTGGAATTTGATGTTGGGGTTAGGCTCTACAGCACTTCTGAAGGGAAGGTCTGGACTGGTCCTGCTGTTGCTTTCTTTGTAGTGTGTTACTCTAGGCTCTCAGAAGGGCTCAGGCCCTTCAAGCTTTCCGATCACAGAGCATTTTTTGTATTCCCAAAGTGCTCTGATCCAGGGCAAAGTATGATTGAACTCCTTGGTCTAAAAACGCTTTGTAAGTTCCTGATATTGGTTTGGATCTGAGTAATAGCAAAATGCTGCTGGACTCAGGCCCTATCAGCTAGCTGGGATGCTCTGAGTGTTCGGAGCGATAGAAGTGTAGATTCCCCTTTGATGTGAGATTTCTGCACTACTTATTTATTCCTCAACAGGCTTCAAATGAGGCTAGAGGTTGGAAGTGAGACACTGCTCTGCTCCTAGAGGGCAAGGCAGGAGGGATCCGAGGTACACTGGCACTGCTTACTTTTGAACTTGTTCCTTTCTAGGTAAATTATCCTAAGCTCCCTACCCAGGAACAGCACCTCAGGCACAGGTCTCCTCCCTAGTCTACACTGTCTTTGTGACTTAGAACTGGGTAGTGAGTGCTAAAGCAGCTAGTCAGTCCCCGTCTGTGCACCCTGAAAGTACAGCCCTGATATGAATCTGGGACCTCCTCTTACTCTGGTGATACAGACTGTCTCTGGCCCCTAGAGTCTTCCATGTGCAGTGTGCTCATAGCCAGACCCCATGCCCAGTATCTGCGGACCTCTCAGTCTGTCTCTCTATGCTACATGGGCTAGATAAATAACTCACTGTTTTTCTGGATTTCCCCATCAAACTTCAGCCTGGTGCTTTTTCTAGATCTATTTTAAGGAGTTTTGAAGGGAAGCTTGCTGTATTGCTTCCTGCTACTCCACCAATCATCCTACCTCCATGTCACTCGTTTTTAAGATTTACTCAATAAAGAGCACAAACTTTGGGGCAGCTGGGTGGCACAGTGGATAGAGCACTGGCCCTGGAGTCAGGAGGACCTGAGTTCAAATCTAGCCTCAGACACATAATACTTCCTAGCTGTGTGACTCTGGGCAAGTCACTTAACCCCAATTGCCTCAAAAAAAAATCCATAAAGAGCACAAACTTAACTTAGAGCAGTAACCTTTAGCTCCCAAGAACACATATGTTTAAGCATGAGAAAAGTATGTAAAGCACAGGTGCCTCTGTTCCAAAGTAACAAAAAACTAACGCAGAGCATCAGAGCAAATAAAAAAATGGTTATTGGCAAAATGAAAAAACCAACAGGGCATCAGATGCCAGAAATGAAGAAGAAATCTTTTAAAAAGTATGTAGTATGGCTTCAAATATTTACATTAATAGTGAATAGCTACATTTTGAAATTAAACAATAAAATGATAAATTAATATATTACATATATTAAGGAACAGAGGAAAGAAAACATAGAACCAGCTGATATATTAAATCAATTTTCCCAATTGTTTTTCAAAAGAAAAATTGTGAATCAACTATTTAAAAATAAAGAAAATCTCACCTGAATGTTGACAAATACACCATGATAGGTCTCATACAAAACTTTGTTGCCCTTCACATGCAGAGGGAACTCAAAAGGAATTTCCGTTTTGCCACTGGGAAATTTTCCTGGCTTCACAATTTCTACGGAACTGGTAATAACTTGGATAGGCTGCAAAACAAAGTCAATTTAATCACTGTATCAACATTTTCTTTATTTTAAAATAAAAAGGAACTCTGAAATGGTCAATTTATAAAAAGCCCATTAAAATTCCAGTGTCCCCTTAACATTCAGAGAATACGATCTAGTCTTTGATGAATGTCTGGTCAATTCAATTCTATGAACCTAGACAGGATGAAGGGACGAGCACAAAGGGGTCCCTCTCACTTTTTCTTCTATTTCAAGGTAGCTGTTGAACAGTGTCTCTGTTCTTCACTGAAACAACTTACGTTATTATAGAAAAAAAAACCAGGAGTTGGATTTGGTCCTACAGTCTCTGACTTGAAGTCTTTGAAACACTGTTACTGCAATAGGAGTCAAGCAAATAAAGCTTTCAGAATGGCCAACTCCTCCAGGCACTACCCAGTGGCTATCATGTACAATTTGATCTGCTGCTTCCAGAAAGGACAGAGGCGATCAGCAGGTGTAACATTTAGCATGAGGTATTTATTGGGGGTTGGGAGTGAGAAAACAAGTTTCCATTTACCACTAGTTTAAAAAAAAAGTCTACAAATTCTTGTGAGTCATATTTCTAAGACCCTGAGCTCAAATTCAGCCTCAGACATTTACTAGCTGTGTGACCCTAGACAAGTCATTTAACCTCTGCTTCACTTTCCTCAAATATAAAATGGGGATAACAATAGCACCTACCTCACAGGGTTATTGTGGGGAGGTCAAATGAGATCATCTTCGTAAAGTGCTTAGGACAGTGCCTGACACATATTAGGCGCTATATAAATGCTTTTTCCCTTTCTTTCCTCATAGAATACAGTTACAGGTAAGTGCTGATGTGGTAACAAAGTGTTAACACCTAGTTATCTTTTTAATCAAGTATGAATATCTATCTCTGATTAAGTCAAAAATGGCAATAAAATTGGCTGCACTTAAAACTGGATGTGTCTTTGGGGACTTTAAACCATGGACAGAGCTGCTGGAGAGTTCTAAGCAGCCAAAGATTATAAAATCATAGAATCAGAGCTGAAAAGACCCTTATAGGCCATCAAGTCCAACTCCCTCATTTTACAGATAAGGAAACCAGGAAACAAAATGGTTAAGTGACTTGCCCAAGATCACTAAACTATGCAGAATTTGCCTAAGGCAAAATTTGAATATATGTCTTCCTGAGCCAATCTGACTCTTAAGAAGCCAAGCTAAGAGCAAAGAACCCAGCCTTCCACCTCTTGGGAAAAGCAAAGAGAAAATGCTGCCTCCAACAGAAGAAAGCATCCCACCCAGCAGTCAGTTCCAGAGAGTTTGAGGAAGACTTGAGGTTTCAGAGACATGCTATAGCCAGGCATGGACAGAGAGACACACTTGTTTCAAGGAACATGACTTATGGCAGCAAAGAAGAGTTGGCCATGGACTCACAAGAAGTACAATCCCCTGCTGGAGTAGACGCTGGGAGACCAACTGAGCAACTTATTTCACTTAGGCACTATACCCACTAGGGAGCACTATGAGGACTCCGCAGGCAAGAAAGGATTTTGAGGAAGCATCAAAGGAGTAAATTACCTTGGCCATATGTTCTTTACATATGTGATTCACTACTACCATATAATAAGAATTCAATAAAGACCATTAGATTTGATAATTAAGCAGGTCCTCTGATTTTAAATTCCCCTTTTGTAATCTCTTCTTCATAGGTACCACCAAAAACTCTATACTTAAATTAACTTTTGAACAATAACTCTTAAAAGCATTTACTTTACTTTTTAAAGTTTTTTTATAATGATCAATAAAATTAAACTGTAAGAGTACATTAAAAATGTACAATGAACCTCATTCTAAATTCACATAGATGGGAATGGAGGTGCATACTGGACAACAGTAGGCTGCAACACACAAACAATGACTCTGAAAGAGAACAGGAACAAAGGATGATATAAAGGAACTGTGATGGGAGCCAAGATGGTGGAATAAAGGCAGGGACTCGCCTGAGCTCTCCCCCAAACCCCTCCAAATACCTTTAAAAAATGACTCTACACAAATTGTAGAGCAGCAGAACCCACAAAAAGACAGAGTGAAACAAATTTCCAGCCCAAGACAACTTGGAAGGTCCGCAGGAAAGGTCTACTGCACCATGATGAGAGAGGAGCACAGTCCAGCACGTAGACTCAGGCGCAGCAAACCCAGAGTAAGCCTCAAGGAGACTAATCACTAGCAGCAGTGACAGTTTCTAGACTTCTCAGCCCACAGATACCAAAGACAACTTAGAAGCTTAGCGGGAAAGATCAGTTGTACTTAGGTAAGAGTAGTTCAGTCAGTCTAGTGCAAGCCATATCAGCACAGCCCTGGCCAAGGCAAACCAGGAGCAGGCCTTGGGAGTGACTGAATCAGCAGCAACAGCAGTGGCAGCCACAGTAGCTGCTTCTGGAGCTCTCAGCCCACTAATGATAAAGTTCAAATAACTGGTCAGAAGGAGATTACAATGGTCTTTCTGCTAACACTGAGGCGGAATTCTGTTGCTTTGCCCATACTCTCATCTGGATTGCAGTCCTGAGGCAAAGAGGAGCACTAGCATGGCAGAGCTCATGGCCACAGTAGAGGAGGACTTTCCTCACAGTTCCAGGGCAGAAAAGGGTACTTCTGGCTATTCACAGACCAGAGTACAGGCCAGGAGAGGAGTAAAGACCTCTCCTTTGATCATACCACCTTGGAAGAACTGAAAACTTACAGGTCCCTGGAATTATCTCTGAAAACAACTACACAAAATCCCTAAATCTTAGGACAGTGCACCTTCCATCATGGAAGCAGAGCCCTTAACAAAGAGTTAAAAGTCAAGTAACAGGCTAGGAAAATGAACAAACAGGAAAAAACTCTCACTGTAGAAAGTTACTATGATGACAAAGAAGATCAAAACACACAACCAGAAGAAGACAACAAAGTCAAAGCTCCTACATCCAAAGCCTCCAAGAAAAATATGAATTGATCTCAGGCCATGGAAGAGCTCAAAAAGGATTTTGAAAATCAAGTAAGAGAGGTAGATGAAAAATTGGGAAGATAAATGAGAGTGATACAATAAAATAATGAAAAATGAGCTAACAGCTTGATAAAGGAGACACACACACATATATACATACACACACACCTGAAGATAATAATATCTTAAAAAACAGAATATTCCAAATGGTAAAAGAGGTCCAAAAAAGCCAATGAGGAGAAAAATGCCATAAAAAGCAATATTGGCCAAATGGAAAAGGAAGTCTAAAACCTCAATGAAGAAAATAATTCCTTAACAATTAGAATGGAGCAAATGGAAGCTAATGACTCTATGAGAAATCAAGAAACAATCAAATAAAACCAAAAGAATGAAAAAATAGAATACAATGTGAAATATATCATTGGAAAAAACAACTGACCTGGAAAACAGATCCAGGACAGAGAATTTAAAATTACTGGACTATCTGAAAGCCATGATCAAAAAAAGAGCCTAGACATCATCTTTCAAGGAATTATCAAGGAAAACTGCCCTGATATTCTAGAACCAGAGGGTAAAACAGAAATTGAAAGAATCCACCAATCACCTCCTGAAAGTGATCCCAAAATGAAAACTGTCGGGAATATTATAGCCAAACTCCAGAACTCCCAGATCAAGGAGAAAGTATTGCAAGCAGCCAGAAAGAAACAATTCAAGTATCATGGAGCCACAGTCAAGATAACACAAGATTTAGCAGCTTCTACATCAAAGGATGGGAGAGCTTAGAATATGATATTCCGGGGGACAAAACAGACAGGATTACAACCAAGAAATCACCTACCCAGCAAAACCGAGTATAATCCCTCAGTGGAAAAAACGGATATTCAATGAGATAGAGGACTTTCAAGCATTCTTGATGAAAAGACCAGAGTTGAATAGAAAATCTGACTTTCAGATACAAGACTCAAGAAAAGCATAAAAAGGTAAACAGGAAAGGGAAATCATAAGCATCTTAATAATGTAAAACTATTTACATTCCTACATGGGAAGATGATATTTGTAACTCATAAGACCTTTATCGTTATTAGAGTAGTTAGAAAGAATATATATAGAGAAGGCACAGGTATAAATTGAATATGAAGGGATGATATCTAAAAAACAAAATTATGGGGTAAGACAGGAATGCACTGGGAGAAACAGCACGGGAGAGGTAGAATGGGGTAAATTATCTCACATAAAAGAGGTAAGAAAAAGCTTTTACAGTAAAGATGAAGAGGAGAGAGATGGGGAGGAGTGAATGAACCTTATTCCCATCAAAATGGGTACAGAAATCTATCTTACCCTATAGAAAAGTAGGAGGGGAAGGGGATAGGTGAAAGGGTGGGAGGGTGATAGAAGGAACAGCAGATGGGGGAGGGGGTAAGCAGAAGCAAAACAGCTTTGAGGAGGGACAGGGTGAAAGGAGAGAGGGAATAGAATAAATGAGGGGGGTGAGCAGAAAGGATGGAGGGAAAAACAGCAATAGTAACTGTGGAAAAAATTTTGAAACAAGTTTCTCTGATAAAGGCCTCATTTCTCAAACATAGAGAATTGAGTCAAATTTATAAAAATAAGAGCCACTGTCCAATTGATAAATGATCACAAGATATGATCAGTCTGCAGATGAAGTAATGAAAGCTATCTATAGCCATATGAAAAAGTACTCTAACTCACTACTGACTGGAGAAATGCAAATAAAACAATTCTGAAGTACTATATCACACCTATTAGATTGGCTAATAGGACAGAAAAGGAAAATGATAAATGTTGGAGGGGATGTGGGAAAAATGAGACATTAATGCAGTGTTTGTGGAGTTGTGAACCAATTCAACCATTCTGTAGAACAATATGGAACTATGTCCAAAGGGCTATAAAACCATGCATACCCTTTGACCTAGCAATGCCATTACTAGGTCTATATCCCAAAAGAGATTAAAAACAAAAAGGAAAAGGACCTATATGGACAAAAATATTTATGGCAGCTCTTTCCTGGAGGCAAAGAATTAGACATTGAGGGGGGGCCCATCATTTGGGGAATGGCTAAACAAACTGTAGTATGTGATTATTATGGAATATTGTACTATAGGAAATAATGAGCAGGATGCTCTCAGAGAAACCCAGAAAGACTTATATGAGCTGATGCAAAGTGAAATGTATTGTGTACAAAGTAACAGCAATATTGTAAGATGATCAGCTATGAATGACTTAGCTGTTCTCAGCAATGCAGCGATCCAAGACAACTCTGAAGGACTTACAACGAAAAATGCATCCCCACAGAAAGAATTAATGGTATCTGGATATAGATTGAAGCATACTTCCTAAAACCTCCTTTTTCTTGAGGTGTTTTTTTGGTCTATGTTTTCTTTTTACAACATGACTATTTTGGATATGTTTTGCATGAGAACACATGTATAACCTACATCAAATTGCCTGCCTTCTCAATGAGAGGGGGTGAGGAGAGAGGGAGAGAGAATTTGTTTTAAAAACAAATGTTAAAAATTATTTTTACATGTAACTGGGAAAAAATAAAATACTAAATAAAAACTAAAAAAATTTTTTTTTAAATTTCCTGCTTTTTACCCTTTAATAGTTTACAATCTAGGAGGAAAGATGAAATACAAGACAAATTTTGGTGATTTAGAGGAAGAGTATGGCACTAGAAGGAAGTAATAAAATAATGAAGTGGGATTTTGATAAGTAGAGTTTGAGGGAAAGGACCCTTCATGAAGATAACAGCTTCAGCAAAGGTCTATATAGAAATAGGAAGTAGTGTTTACAGATCAATTAATAGTTCAGTGAATGGGCTAGGTGAAGTAGAATATGTTATTCAGTCATGTCCAACTCTTCTTGACCTTGTGGACCATAGTATTGTCCATTGTGCTTTCACAGCAAAGACGGGGGAGTGGTTTGCCATTTCCTTCTCCAGGCAAACAAATTAGGTGACTTGGCCATGGTCACACAGCTGGCAAGTGTCTGAAGCCAGATTTTAACTCAGGTCTTCCTGACTCCAGGCCTAGCGCTCTATCCACTGAGCCAGCTAGCTACCTCAAAAGGTAAAAACTGTAGGATTAAATCAAGTTTCTGTTTATGAAAGTCCCCCACAGTAACAGGAAATGACTATACTCTTCTACTTGTAGTATTAAGAAAACACTGTGATTTTTTTTTTTAAACATCAGCCCAATTATTCAAAATGTAAGCATTCTTACCTTAACAGAGTTACAGAAAGCTTCAAACATACCAACACTTTTGGCACTGAGCTGTAGGTTCACCAGTCCTTCCATTGTTAATAAAATTCCTTGGTGCTGTACTGGATCTTTGCTAGATATAACCACCACACCAGAGAGTACTTCCTACAAAGAGAAAAAAAGAGTCACAATGTAAATTAACTAGGCTTGTTCACCTTGACTTACTTTTGCCAAAAATAAAGTTCTAAAAAATAAATCCAACCTATCCATATACCTTTTCATACGACTGAAGAATGCCAACAAATGTTTGTTATTACAGCAACAATAAAGATTCTGGTGACATGTTAAATTCCATAACTTCAAATGAAGTAATTTATATTAAGTAATTGATATATTAGCATTCATAGGGATCTTTTAAGTTGAAGAGAAACCACAGTGAGACCCAAAGGAGTTATTTGGTTTTTTTTCCCTCTATTAATTTATTTTTTGTTTTCAACATTCACTTCCACAAGATTTTGAATTCCAAATTTTCTCCCTATCTCGTCCCTCCCCCCACTCCAAGATGGCATGCATTCTGAATACCCCTTCCCCTAATCTGCCCTCCCTTCTATCCCCCTCCTTCTCTGATCCCCTTCCCCTTCTATTTTCCTGTAGGACAGGACAGATTTCTATGCCCCAATGGATTTATTTGTTAGTTACTAATATGTACAGAAATGACCTGTGATTTTATCGGCACATGAAACTTCTGGTTAAGGAAACTTCCCTATGCAATGCAGGTTGGTACCTTCTTTCCAATTTAGTCTTAGGGTAAGGGTTTATAACCTTTTTGGGGCCATGGACTCCTTTGCAGGCCTGTGAAACCTAAAGATCCCTTCTCAGAATGAGATTTTTAAATACATAAAAGAAAATACCTAGGATTACAAAAGAAACCAATTATGTCGAAATACAGTTATCAAAATATTTTTTTAAAAGTTCAAGAGTATTGTGACCCTGGGCAAGTCACTTAACCCCACTGCCTACCAAAAAAAAAAAAAGTTCAAGAGTCAAGGTTAAGAACCCTTGTCTTAGATAACTGCCTAAAACACAGAGAAGAAGTGAACACAGCCAGGATGTGATACAGGCAGTTCTTAAACTCAGGTCTTCCTAGTTCTGAAGCCTGCTCTTTATCCACTACTTCACATTAACTCTTCCAATTACATAAGCAAAAAATATGGTGAACCCTCTCAGCAAAATAAGCTTCATAAAAAGTACTCAACATTGTCAGTAAAATACAAAGGTCATCACAAACCTATATGAAAAATTTCCAATAATTCCTAGATTTCCAGATGTATAATTTAGGCTTGATGTCCATCTAAAAGCAGGATTTCAGATTTCAGATGGTCCTTCAATCATTTAAGAAAGACTATAGACTATTTACCTAAGGATACTTAACAACATCACCTTCTTTACTGGATGGTACTTCTTAACTTGGAGCATCTAGGTGGCAAAGTGTGTAAGTGTCAGACCTGGAGTCAGAAGACTCATTTTCCCAAATTCAAATCTGGCCTTAGATACTTACTAGCTATGTGACTCTGGGCAAGTCACTTAACCCTGTTTGCCTCAGTTCCTCATCTGTAAAATGAGCTGGAGAAGGAATGGTAAACCCTCTTTGCCAAGAAAACTCCAAAAGGGGTAACGAAGAGTCGGACACAACTGAAACCAATGAACAACAGAACAACTTCTTAACTTCCTTTCCATTGTCCTTATACCAATTTTGAAGGTCCTTAAAATCTGTAGAGTTTGTATGGTATTTTAAAAAATATTTCTAAAAATATTATGACTCCTGAAAAATACCACACACACACACACACACGCACCAGTTCTGCTACAAGGTTTCTTTTGAAAATACAAATTTGTTCCATTGCAACTGATATTTTAGGGAATGATTTAAACAACACAAATTTTCCATTTGCTTATTCTTGATTTTGTCTTCAAGAAACCATTAGAATGCAGAAAACTGCCACTGCCACCTCATTTACAACTCTCCTCATCTCAGATAATTCTTCCACTACTTCATAATAACTCACAAGCCACAACCCTGCCCACTTCCACAAGTAAACCCTATCTTTTTTAAGGTAAAATATCAGATGTTGTGACTCTTCTAGTGCAGTGGGAACTCTGAGAGGAGGAAAGCTAGTCCTCCCCTATGCATCGAAGCTCCCCACTCCCTCACTTTCTGCCACGTCCTGGGACACCTCTCACCCAACAAGCTGAGTAAGACCTAGAAAATCCCTAGTTTCAGTCTACTAAATAATTTCAGCCCTCTTCCCCATCAAACCTTTAACTATCCCTATTCATGTAACAAGGAACAAAATTAACAGATGTGAGTCATAATCTGTGACACAGTACAGCAAATGCGTGCTACAGAAGAAGACGCATGATGCTAACAGAATAGGAGAATAAATTCTGTGATAGCCACTCACAATTTGTAATGTAAAAGAAAACAACACTGAAAGACTTCACCACTCAAGGAGGTGCACAACTCACGCAGCAATCTATCATTATCAGAGGACTTCTCAACAGAGAGGTGATAAACTATACATACCATAAGGCTGATATACTGCACTTATTTGTCACAAAAAAGAATTCTATCTGGGAGGAGGGGAGTCAATGAGAAGTGGCAAGTGTTAAAAAAAAAACTACTAATAAAATTAAACAACTAAAAAAGTAACAAACATGAAACTTATAACTTTTTTTTTAAATAGCCAGGCAAGATGTTACACAATTATAGTCCCTGCTCCTGGGGAGACTAAAGCTGGTGGAACACCTGAGTTCAGGAGTTCTGAGCTGTAGCAGGTCTAAAGCAAATCTGGTGTTCATGCTAAGTCTGACATCAATATTGTGAGCCCTGGGAACAAGTTACTAGGATCACTAAAGGGTGAATCAGCCCAGCTCAGAAACAGAATACATCAAAACTTATGCTGATAAAAGGTTGAATGGCTGTTTGTAAAAATTGTGATTTTTAAAAATATATTATTTGATGTGGTCCTAATGGTGGTCCAAATAGTCCTAATGCTTATGAAATATATAGGTAATAGCACAGTTTTATACTTTTCCATTGTTTTGACCCAAGCAGTCATTAACTGCTTGTCAACTGCAGTGACTCCTTTCCTGATGCCTCAAGATAATCAACTCAAACCCTCACCCAATTTGTGGTCTCCCCCCACTCCCGTCCCATCCAAGCCTAGTATAGATAGATAACTCCAAGAAACATCTGGGTCTGATTAGGAATGCCCTCTTCCACATCTGGCATTGATTATCTGTTCTCAACCAAGCCCACTTTTAGGATATTCAACTTTTCTGCTCAACCCCCTACTTTGAGCATGTACTTCCCCAAGATGACTCCCTCTCCCTTGAATTGAATGAGTTTCTTTGCAAATAAGAGGGACAAACCTCTATCTATATTGCCTGTGTGTGTGTGTGTGTGTGTGTGTGTGTGTGTGTGTGTGTGTGTGTGTGTGTTCGTTCTACTTGCTGTACCACATAATAAAACTCATGTTTGTACTAGCTTCCCAAGTACCAATTTCCTGTGAATCTCCAACCCTGGTCTTTGCTTTAATTCCAGTGGTGAGGCCAAATAAAGCAATTAGGGTTTCTGGAAAAAGAGACTGGGTTTCTGGAAAACAGGAAAGAGAATCAGTAGTTTGGGGTTGAGCATATGGGAAGGAATTAAGAGACTGGAAAACAGTATTGTGAATCCTCTGCCAGTGTTCGGAGGGTCATTAGTATAACATTAGGGGCACTGTACATAACTAAAGGGGTACTTCCCTTTTGTTTAATGGGCTTTCACATAATGCAACAAGCAGGGATCCTTGGGCTCCTGAATTAGAAGGAATGTGCGCTGCCTCCTAATCAAAGCCAAAGTTATACTGTGTTAAAAAAAAAAAAAACCAGCCTGAATTAGACGACAGTTTAAAGGAAAGTGCAGTTTGCTGCTTTTGTTGCTACTTCCCTTATTGTAAGACAACCCAGTCCAGAAGGTTTCTGACCACTAACCCTTGGCACAAGGCTTCCAGGTTTGGTTGTTCTCCTTTCTTTTTTGGCAGTTCAACTTTTTATTTTAACAAAATCAGAATATGTGCAGCACATGCAGTGCCAGCATCTAAACTAATAAAATAAGTAATTACTAAACCTAAGTAACTCGAAGCTCAATCTTTACACTCAGCAAGTTTAAATCCATTCTTGCATATGCCTGTGTCAACTCCTCTGTTCTATTAAGAGATGTAAATCCCCCAAAGATCTGTGCTGGAATCTGCTAGCAACCTCCTGCCACCAAGATAAGCAAGGTAGTAAGAAAAGTGTTACAATTCCTTCAACAAGAACATAGTTAAGAATAATCCTTTTAAAGATTCCCCTAATCCCAATCCAAACCTCGATGAGATGACTGAGGACTCCTTGAAGAATACTAACTTCCAGGGTCCAAACCCTTCTGGTGACAACTCAAAGAATAGTCACCAAGGCAGATACTGATAGCCCTTCTGAACATCAAGAGAAAAGCAGGTCCCTGGCTCGCCCTGAACTCTAGGTTCTGCTCAAAGACCTAATGTAGAAGCCAAAGAAGTTATGCCATTGGCTAAATAGACTATACCCCACTGGAGATGGCCTTTAAGCTATCCCCTGCTGAGCTCTGTCAAATTGCTGGCATTTGCCATGTCACTGCACTCCTAAAAAATCCCAAGACGCTGCAGAGATCTTGGCAAAACTGACACAATGGGGCCAAGGAGGGAACAGCTCCTGCACTGCCCTTCAATGGACTTTGATGGCTTGGAGAAACACTCACCCCATCCTGTTCTTTGACTGCCTGCTCTGAAACCACCTGAGGGACCCTCTAAGAGAAATGTTCCCTGCTATGGGGATTAGAGATGATTTTGTGGCTAGCCCACAATACTGATGAACTGCAAGTATAGGACAGGTAGGAAGGACCTGAAGAAGCCACCCTGAATGAAGGTGCTCACACCCTGTTCCTCGAAGGTATCATGTCATCCTCCTAATGATGGCTGAAGTTGATACCATGCAAGAGGTTCTAGATTGTCTGCACATGATAATAAGAAATAAGAAGGAGCAGTTCAATGATGCTACTAGGGGAGGATTCAGGCAGCCTTACACTGGCACTTGCTTCCAATTGG